ACACTGTGCAGTAACTTTTTTTTGTGTGTGTGGAACTGGGGATTGAACTCAGCCCTTGAGCTTGCCAGGCAAGCGCTTATTCTACTGAGCCATCTCCCCAGCCCCTAAGAATTTCATACTCCATATTATTGATATTTTATGTTCTTGTTAAGTGACACTGTATATTGTAAGAACCTGTGGCAGAACAGCACAACTACTGGAATGTCGAATATGTCCTATGAAAGGCCAGGAAAGCAAAAGACATGCTGTTAGTGTAAGTGGTAGGTGTGTATGGAGCATGGTGTGGTCATGCGTGCAGACTGCTGTAGTAAAGGTGATTTTTTAATTTTATTTTATTTTTTAGAGTGCTGTTGGTATTTTCATTGTAATTCATATAGAGGGGGGTGTGTGTGTGTGTGTGTGTGTGTGTGTGTTTTAAATGTATTTAGTTCTGGGTCTCACTATATAGATTGAACTGGTAGTGAGATCCTTCTGTTTTCAGCCTACCAAGTGCTGGGCTTACAGGTGTGCGTCGCCATACCCCTCTCAATCGCAGTCTCAGTGTGCCCCAGGGGTGGGGCTGGCATGGCATGCCAGGTATTTTTGTTTTGGTTTGGTTTGGGTTTTTTGGCAGAACCAGGGATTGAACTCAGGCCCTTGTGCATGCCAGGGAAGCACTTATTCCACTGAACTATCTCCCCGGCCCCAACATGCCAGGTATTGAACCCCAGCCGTATTGAACCCTGGCCGCTGTGCTCTGCCTAAGCAGGTGCTTTAGTCTACTGAGTTATCTGGCTGGCCCTTTGTGTATTTTTGAGCCAGGTTCACTTTGCAGTTCAGGCTGAACTTAAACTCACTTTGTAGTTTAGGCTGGACTTTAACTCACAGAAATCCTCCTGCTTCAGCCTCCGAAGCACTGTAACTACAGGTGTACACATCACACCCAGACATTCATATAGTAGTTTAGTTATTTTATTTTTTTGGTGGAACCAGGGATTGAACTCAGTCCTTGCAGTTGCCAGGCAAAAGCCTACTCTACTGAGCTCCCCAGTCCCGTTTTTTAAAAAATTTTTAAAAATATTCATTAATTTTTTATTAATTTTATTTTTTAAAATTATTTATTTATTTGTGTGTGTGTGTGTGTGTGTGTGTGTGTGTGTGTGGCCAGCTCAGCCCACCAGGGGGCAGGGCTGGTTGGCATGTGGTGTTGGGGGACTGAATCGTGGTCCCTGTGCTTTACTAAGCTTGTTCTAACTAGGTGTTTTAGACCACTGAGCCATCTCACCAGCCCAATTTTTTATTAATTTAAAAAAATATTTATTTATTTTGTACAGGGTCTCACTACTCAGCTCAGATTTGTAGTGACCCTCCTGCCTTAGCCTCCCCAGCACTGGGATTACAGGGGTGCGCTACCATGCCTGGTTTCAGTGGCCAGCACAGCACGCCCAGCAGTTCTGTGGCCCAACAATGCATGTGGTACAGGGGTTCGAACTCGGGTCCTTGTGCTTGCTAGGCAGGTGTTTATACTGCTGAGCTATCTCCTCAGCCCCAGGAGTTTCTTTCTTTTTTCTTTTTTGTATTTTAGGGAAGGGTCTACAGGCCATTCAGGGTCTCACTACTAGATCGGACTGGTAGTGATTCTCCTGTTTACAGCCTCCCAAGAGCTGGGATTACAGGCTTGTGCCACCACACCCAGTCTCAATCATTATCTCAGTGTGATTGAGCCCCCAGGAGCAGGGTTGGCACTAGAAGTTTATTTCTTTTCTTTTCTTTTTTAATTTTTATTTATTTATTTATTTTTATTTTTTTTTATAATTTTTTTTAACATTTATTTATTTATTGTGTGTGTGTGTGGCCAGCTCAGCCCTCCAGGGGGCAGGGCTGGTTGGCATGTGGTGCTGGGGGATTGAACTGCGGTCCCTGTGCTTTGCCAGGCTTGTTCCATGTAGGTGCTTTAGACCACTGAGCCATCTCGCCAGCCCCTATTTCTTTTCTTTTCTTTTTTTTTTTTTGAAAACAGTGTACACACATTTATTTTACAGACATATTCCAAAACTAAGATGTATAGTATAGACTACCTTTTTTTATTTTAGTACATGATTTCTCTAATCTCTCCACATTCAAATTGATAAGGACTTTGGCAGCATCTACACTGAATTCCAATCTTGCAGAAAATTTATTTCTAAGTCAATAAGCCATAAAACCAGGACAAAGCATTATTTATGATTCATGAAAAACATTGTCGGGGCTGGGGAGATAGCTCAGTAAAATAAGCGCTTGCCTGGCAAGCTCAGGGTCCTGAGTTCAATCCCTGGTATAGAAGTTTATTTCTGATGTTCTTATTTAGACTCTACCCCAAAGACCAGTTGATGTCAAGAATTTTGATGCCTTCTTTTTGCGGAATCAGGGATTGAACTCAGGCCCTTGCACTTGCCAGGGAAGTGCTTATTCTACTGAACCATCTCCCTGGCCCAATGCTTTTTTAATGAACAGTAAATATTAAAAACTCAATATTTTTGTGATTTTTTTTTCCTGTTAAGTACATTGTTTAATATCATAACTCATAAATTAATAATTCATCAGTAGAAATATTCTAAAGAATAAACTTTGGTCTGACTCATGTTTGTGCACCTGAATGACAAATTAACAGACAACTAAGTGACTAAGTGGTTCATAGTAGATATTCTGGACAAAGGTGATTCACATTCTAGGCAGAACGTAAGTGTAATATTTCATCATGTTACCCAAAACAGGCTGCTGTTGAAAATGTGCGTTAAATTATTTCTGGAGTTTTCCAGTTACTACTTCTGGGCTGCAGTTGACCGCAGAATGTGAAACCATGGGCAAGAGGGAGCGCCTGCACAAGCCAGCCAGCGATCATGTTCTACTGCTTGTGTTCTCTTTAACCCTCCTGAAGCGTTTAGAAGTATTTTTCAGTTTCCAGATGAGGCAATTTTATTATTAGCAGACTATATCCCACCTTCTGGTATACTTGTGTTAACGTCCACCCTCTTCTTGCTTTTTAAATTTTATTTATTTATTTATTTATTGTCAGGGTCTCACTATGTAGCCCTGGCTGGCCTCAGACTTGTGGCAATCAATTTAGTGTGGTGGAGCACGCCTGTAATCCCAGCACTTGGGGTTGCTGAGGCAGGAGGATTATTGCGAGTTAGAGACCAGCTTCCACTACAAAGTGAGCTCTAGGCCAAGCTAAACTGCATGGGGAGACCCTGTCTCAAAAAGACAAAACTAAAACAAAACAAAAACTTGAGGCAATCTTCCTGCCTTAGCCTCCAGCGCTGGGATTACAGTTGTGTGCTGCCATTTTTTTGTTTTTTGAGATAGTCTCACTATGTAGTCCAGGCTCTTTGAACTCTAGGCCCTCAGGTGTCAGCTTCCTGAGTTCTGGAATTACAAGCATGTATATCTGTGATATGCCCTCTTGGTTTAGTGCCTTAATTTTCTGTGGGCTCTGGGCGTGGGCGAAAGTGAGTGGGTAATTTCTCTCCCAGAGATCAGGGATACAAAGGAAAGCCTGGCCTTTTTTCCTTCCCCCTCCTCCTCCCTCTTTCCTCCTCCCTTCTTTCCTTTTCCTTTTTTCTTCTCCCCTCCCTGCTCTTCTTTTCCTCCCTTTCCTCTCTCCCTCCTGCCTCTCCTCCGTTCTTCCTTCTCTTTCTTTCCTGAACTTACTGTGTAGCGCAGGCTGGCTTGAATTTGTAGCAGTTCTCCTGCCTCAGCCTCCCAATTACCATGATTACAGGTGTGTACCACAACAGTCAAAGTGGTTAAAATAACTTTATTCAGGTATAAACTATAAAATTCACCCACTGAAATTAGCTGTTTCAATGATTTTTTTGTAAATTTACAGAGTTGTACAACTAATAATACTTCAGTTTCAGAATACTTACAGAGAAACACACATGCACATGCACACACACACACCACATTCTGAACCCATTTGTGGTAAATTCCAACTCACTTTCAGCTTGGGTCTCCTTTAGCTTCTGGTAGCCATAAATCTGCTTTTGGTCTAAAATTTATCTTGCCTACACGTTTTATTTATATGGAATCACTATGTAGTCTGTTCTGCTTTCTTTCACTTAGTATAAATTTTCCAAGGTTCTTTCTAGTTGTTCTGTGTATTTTTCTTGCTGAATAGTTTTCCTTTGTATGGATATCCTACCTTTTGGTTTTTCATTCATTCACCTGGTTGATGGACATTGGAATTTGTTTTCTGATTTTGTCTATAGAAATATTCCTGTAAATTATTGTGTACAGCTTTTTATGTAGACATTTTTTTTTTCATTCTCTTGAGTAGAATTTTAGGATCAAATTTGCTGTAGCTGTAATTCATTGGTTTTGATTGCTGTGATAGAGACCAAGTCCAGGATCTCACACATGCCCAGCAAGCACTCTGCCTCTCAATAGGTAGGTAGGTAGGTAGGTAGGTAGGTAGGTAGATAGATAGATAGATAGATAGATAGATAGATAGATAGATATTTTTCTTTTTTCTTTCTTTCTTTCTTTCTTTTTTTTTTTTTTTTTTTTTTTTTTTTTTTTTTTTTTTTTGGGCAGGATCTCACCTGTGAGCCTGGGCTGGCCTGGAACTCACAGCGCTCCTCCTGCCTCAGCCTCTTAAGTCCTGGGATTAGAGGTGTGCACCACCACACCCAGTGTCTCACCTGTGAGCCTGGGCTGGCCTGGAACTCACAGCGCTCCTCCCTCAGCCTCTTAAGTCCTGGGATTAGAGGTGTGCACCACCACACCCAGTGTATATGTTTAAACATAGGATTCATCTTTTTGCCTACATGTGCTGTGGGTTTTATTATTTATTTATTTATGTATGTATGTATGTATTTATTTTTTGCAGAACCGGGGGTTGAAGTGAGGCGCTTGTGCTTGCTAGGCAAGCACTCATTCTACTCAGCCATCTCCCCGGCCCTTACATGTGCTTTTTAAGATAAGACATTGGATTGTTTGCTCCTTTCATCACTTACCTTTTTTTTTCTGTTCTTGCTCAGGGAGCATAATACTTGGGAACCAGAGAAAAACTTGGATTGCCCTGAACTTATTTCTGAGTTTATGAAAAAGTATAAGAAGATGAAGGAGGGTGAAAATAATAAACCCAGGGAGAAGTCGGAAGGTAACAAGAGGAAATCCAATTTCTCAAACAGTGCTGATGATATCAAGTCCAAGAAAAAAAGAGAGGTAAGCTTCCTTCTTTTTCCCTGTAAGCTGTTCTCTTGCCACCTCCCACCCACAGAGGGGCTGTTTTCAGTTACTTCTGGGCCAAGGCGCCTCCAAGAAGGCATGTGGAGGCGCCCCCTTCTGGTTGAGTGAGAAGTGTACATTGTGGTCATTGAATTTGTTTTGAAGGGGCAAAATTAAATCTGTAAAACATTAAAACACTCTTGTCTTCTCCATAAATAATGTAATGTAAGTAGTTATTTTATTGAAGGTGGTCTTTGGTGATTTTTTAAAAAAGATATAAATGAGGTTTGCTTTTGGGGGTTGTCTTTTTAAGATTTTTTGAGGTTTTCTTCTTTCCTTATTTGGTTTGGTTTTTTAAGACAAGGTAGCCCAAACTGGCCTTGAACTCATAGTGATCCTCCTGCTTCAGTCTTGAGTGCTGGGATTACAGGTGTGCACCACCACCCACAGCTGGAAGCAAGTTTTGAAATGTTCACCCACTTTTTTTCATTTGTTGCTCTGATAACATTTGTTTTCCATACTTTAGGTATTTTTTAAAGGAGAAGTTTAATTTGACTTGTTTTTATGGTTTTTTTGGGTACAGGGTCTTGCTACACAGCTGACACTCAGTGGTACTCCTCTCAGCCTCCCCAGCACTGTGATTACAGGCATGTGCCACCAGGCAGGTCTCGCCTTTCCAGTGGCCGGGGATCAGTCCCTATGCTTGCCTAAGGGAGAGGCGGCTAGAGAGCTCAGTGGACTAAGCTTAGCAGACTAAGCGCCTGCTTAGGCAAGCACAGGGACCAGGGTTTGATCCCTGGCACCACATGCTGCGCCTGAGCTGGCCACCAAGTCCTGGCGTGGTGGCACACATCTGTAATCCCAGTGCTGGGGAGGCTAAAAACAGGAGGATCACTATGAGTTTGAGCTGCATAGTAAGACCCTGTACCAAATGCATTTTTTTTTTCATTTTATTTTATTT